TATATGGATTTTAAAAAATAGCTATTTCTGTACCTAGGATACATTTTATTAAACAATTCACTTGTACTTTGTCTTCAAAGTATTTTACAGAAAATGCACAAAATTCAAGATGTAATTCTAACCTATTTTAGTCAATATTTTTGTAGTTGATAAAAGCGAAAATAACGGTACGACTTCACTTGTTATCTGTTCATTTTGATATGACAACTAACATTGAATCTTACTTTATATTAAGCTAAAAAAAACTCCGACGAGACGATTCTCTCGTTATTAATCTATTACATTATTCATCGAAGTTATATTATAGTATTATATTTTTAGTTAAACTCTTAGAATAATATATGTCTCAAGAGGAATAAACTCTCAACAAAGAAATATTTACCCAAGTTTTCTGCAAATTGGTCATCTACCACTTAAATTGAGGTCTTATTTCGGACGGTGGGCTGGCGTGTCACGCAGTGTCACGTTGCGGCGCTCAGGGAGCTAGGGACTATGAATTTGACTGGAAATAACGAATGTAAACATCAAGCTACGAATAAGAATTTTGAAATGGATGCGTTAAATAAATCTACGTTGAAGTAAATCATAATAACATTAGGATATTGTCATTGCCCGTGTACTGATATTAATTTATTTCTGCTCTTTGCATTTTTGTTGTTTTACGTCTATGTTCTATTTAAATAGATGCGTCGAGAATGGACAGCGAAAGAGATAGATAGGAATTGAAAACATCCTTTTTTGTTATTAATTTTCGCTGTTTGATAACTAGACAACGCATAAAAGGTTGACTGGAAAACCTAACTCACTTCACACGTCCTTCTATATTTGTACCTCTTATGAAAAAAACTATTTTCAAAATAAGACTAATTTGTTGTGTGTTTTTTTTTCGTAATTATCATTATACTCAGAACTGTTTTTTTTTCTTAGAACTGTTCTTATATTTTAAACTTTACTAGGATTGTGTAAGGTTGTATAAATGGTATGTCATATCCATTAAATTTCGTACTCATCCGTAGCATTCACTTGGGCCGAGCAAGATGCGACGGGCCTCTGCTCCACCATCCGTCAGACTGTCGGAGCTGCGCCACTACACGGCAACGCACTTAACTTCACGCCGACCGTACATGTGTCTACGAAGGGGACTCCTACTTGTTAATAGTTATGAAGGGCCGCGCGGAGTGGTCATCTCGCAACAGACAACCAATTATGACCACCATCATGACAGATTGCGACGATTTGAGTCTTTGACTTTTATGTGACAAGATCTCACCCATTCCCATACCCGTTTGAAATCTCACCTATTCCCATTTGACATTTAAAAACGAAAACTTCTAAACTAACTTGATTGTATTCATTTTTTGTGGGTACATTTTTGTGTCAGTATGCGTTTAGAAAGACTTAAGTTTCGGCATATGTGCTATGACTAAACCTCGCAAAAAAAAAGCGGCTGGTTTTTACCTAGTCCGTTTCTCTATAATCAAAGATTTGAGCCAACTTAGCATTTATATAGAAACGAAATGATTTATTTCCATTTCACTTGTTGATTTTATTCAAGTGAAGTGACAAATATTATTTACAAAAACACCACTGCCAACTTCGGTTAGCATAGAACGTATTTAACTAATTTTAATTTATTTAGTAGGAATATCTGTATAAAGTAATATTTAGTAGAACAAGATCTACATTAACTTCGTCTTTAATTTTTTATTTAAAAATTAATTTAAAAATTACATTTAATTTATTTTTAATGAATGTGAATAGTTCAATACAAACCATCTTTCTTCATTTTTAAAATTCTTTAATATTCTCAATAATTCTCGATATCGATAGTTGACATGAAATACCTATCTCTAGGCTCCAATATCCGCAACGCTCGACGTCTAGACAAAAGCGATTAAGCCGCATCCCTACATATGACGTCGACTCAGATATTATTAGTAATCGATCTAAGAACGGAACAGGCTTGTACTAGCACGATATAGGCCACGCCTTAACCTATGATAGCTTTGCTCACGTTAATAAAATGAAATAGGTTAAAAATTGAATGTACATGAGAGACCAATTTATAACTTTACGAGCTGTTGCCCGCGACTTTGTCTGCGTGGTATTAGAAAACATACGAACTATAGAAATAACAAAAAGCAACGTATCCCTCGGGAATCGGACACCTCGGGGATAAGGCTTATCCCATGTATACTTTGTTTGACTTGGTTTTACATCTGTGCCAAATTTCAATAAGATATGTTGAACCGTTGCAGAATGATCGAGTAAACATTAAAAAACTAAATTAATGAATCCCACGGAAACCGTAACTTATCCCGAAATAAAAAGTAGCCTATGTGTTCTTCCATACTTTGCTCTAAACCTGTGCCAAATTTCATGGAGATCCGTTCAGCCGTTTGGGCTACAAACGCTAACAAACATCCATCTATCCATCCATCTAAACTTTCGCATTTATAATATTACTAAGATTAGTAAGATTTCTAAACCGGTACGACTTAGGTTGCCTAAGTACAGTTGGAAAAACTAGCGGTGTTCTAATTAGCTTTTAGATACGAAACCTTTGAAAATTTTGAAACAAGACGCATCACTTCAACGCAAGTTATAAATGTATTAACCACTCACTGCTATCTAATTAGTTATTTGTAGGAAGAGGCGGAGTTTGTGTCATTGCAATGAACAAGACATTTTTTTTTCTAAAATGGAACACCGCGGATTACCGCGACTGTACTTAGCGTTCCTCCTCAATAGCTGGCGATGCATTTATAGTTCCTTCTCGTGTTGCGATATCCAAGAGGTTGCTCCAAAAATTTTATATTTTATACATTCTTTTGATAGTATCATCAACTTGCCCTTGTCACTACGGTTTCGGCACAGAATTTGTTGCTCATCCATACATTTCTATCAGCCGTCAAATCTGAATCCATTCCCTTGCAGCTAGTATCGATCCTTGTAGTAGATGGATGGGTGGAAGGATGTTTATTATAGTCTGTGGCATAAACGGCTGAACAGATCTCGATGAAATTTGGCATAGACGTAGAGGATAGTCTGGAAGAACACATAGGCTACTCACTTTTGTTTCTTTAAATTCCAGGCGGACGGAGTCGCGGTCGAATGCCAGTAGTCCATAAAATGTAGGTAAGAGAATGACGACATAGAACTAAGTGCTAGTATTAGCCGTGCGAGTTTTGCCGATGACTTCACCTACCACTAATACCTACCGCTTCTCGCGTTTCTCTGCTCAGTACCGACAGTTATCACATCGTCACGCCATCGGCAAAGCTTGCAAACCTTAAAGTTGAGTTTGCCAAACTCCTATGTATATTAAAAGATTGTAGTTTGCAATAATAATTTATTTAGGTAAAGTAAAACACATAATAATGATAAATAAAATATTTATTGTATAACATTTCAACCATTATTAACATTTTTTCCAATCACAATACGCTTTAGGTACATTCTAAGCTAAAAATAATAATACATTATAAATAACATTATGTTTCCCTAATCCCAATATGTTTTAAAAGAAGTATAATGTAATATCCCATAACATTCTCAATTAAGTTATAATATATCTTAGGGCCTGTCCCACCAAATTGTAAATTGTCTGATAAGTAACAATCGAACGTGTAAAAATGTGAAGGAAATCTCGTATTGTCCCCATATCAGACAGTGATGTCATTTTTAAGTTATTTAAGCACCTATCAGTGGTGGGACAGCCCCTTAAAACAACTAACAAACCCAGCGGTAGTTCATCCTTCACAAAATTCTATATCACTTATGCATCTAAAATATGTAACTCATGTCTTTTATATAATACTTCGGAACTACACAGCACTAACAATAGGCAATATGCATATGACGCCAAATTGTACCAAACTTTTTTCAAGTATACTTTATTACTATAAAAACATTCCTGCAAAAGCTTTTTTAAATATAACGTGATTTAGTCGCAATATTTCATCTTTAAAAAGTGTCTTTTTAAATTCCCTTGCTAAGTTCTAAAACGCACACTATTGGTCGAAGCAAATGGCTTATCTAATATGGCGTCGCTGTGTTGACAATAAACAGTTCATTTACGTTAGTTTATATAGAAATACACTCTTTAAAGTATTTTACTGTAAACGCGATATCAAAACATACTTTAAATTAAAAAAATAATGAATAGAATTATTAATTACCACTTATTTGTATCAGGAATAATAAAAATGAATCGATTTTTGACTTTTTCACCTTGAGAAGCAATGAGATACTTTGTTGTTTTTTACGTCGAAGTGACATCTGAGCGTATGTTATGAATGGAATATGACTATTGACGTCAAGTGTCTCATGACTCCGGTCGCGTATTAGTCGCTCGAAAATGGTCGTAATTTTATTTTATTATTTTTAGCTCAAGGGTTGAATATTTTCGCGTCACTTTTTTTCCTGGTTATTTTTTAACAAGTACAATCGTTTAAAAAAGAAAAAAATACATGCATATTCCCTATAATATATAAACAAAACAAAAAAAATCTTGTTACCTAACTGGTTAGGTAAACGGAAGAAGCCGATTTGTAGGGAAATGTTTAGCGCCATTAACTTAATGTAACGACTTAAAGCTATTTGTACATAAAAAACAATCCTACATCCTAATTTGTAAATAATGTGTAAATTCTTTGTAAACAATCATCTAAAAATGTAAGCTCCTATATTAATTTTGTACATATCTAATTTTACATTGTTGGAATTCAATTTAAATACCATTTACATTGATTTTTATATATAAAATATTTTTTTTTAATAACATTCGTATTTATATGACATTTTCAACATTAGGTTAATTCCACTTCGCAAAGAGTAATAATTTACCATCACAGAATGGCAACACCAACCGTTAATATTTTTAAGGCCACGTGCTTTATTACATTTCTTAATATAATAGAAAACATTTTAAAAACCATTTTTTTATATATAAAATCTATTTTATTGTATTATACAATTAATATAATTAAATAAAGATTGAATAAAAAATGTTTTTAGTTAAAATTATTTGTATTCTAATGAAGGTGAAGTCAAAGATTATGATAAAAACCAAATTACAGTATTAATCATAGGTACTGATTATTTCTTGCAATAATGTATCATTTTATTAAGTTTTAAATACATTTCTGAGGCACTTAGGTATAGCCATTATATTTTGACATTACCATCATTAAATCGTCAATGAGAAGCAATTACCGTTTTTTTCTTATAAAATAAAGAGGCAGACTCGCAAGCGGCCACCTGAATCCACCGAAATGGAAAGCGACCGCTGCCCATACACATCCGCTATTGCAGATGCCTTGCCTACCCTTACTTGACAGAGGAGGAGACGCACACAAAGAGGACAATTTCCTACCCTATGCGTCTCCTCCACCATCAAATCCACTTTCCTCTTAAAAGGGCGGAAAGGGAAAGGGACTAAAATGAGGCCTCCGGCACCACATTCACGCTTATATATACTTCAAGCTTATTTACTGTTTTATCATGAATATCGTCAATTTATAAAAAAACCTGGACTTAATTTATAAAATGTTAATTTTGATCCCATCCAAGAGACCTATCAACGGCCATTTTCCATTGTTTATACCTCATATCACGTTCATCTTCTGTGATACGAGGTACATATGTGATACCGCTTGTCATAGGTATGGGAACCCCTTGGTTGTTACCATCAACACCCCAATACGCAACCAACGCGGCCCCTAACGCCGTACTTTCGGTGAAACCAGCTTTGATCACTTCTATGCCAATTAAATCAGCTTGCATCTGCATCACTAATGCATTTGATGTCATTCCTCCGTCAACCTTCAATTGAGTTATAAAAAACACAAGTTAAATCTTTGTGTAATAAGGGCCTGTCTCACCACTGACTGATAGAGGCTGAGATAGCTAAAATAACGTCACTAACAGATTAGTATTTCCATCACATATTTTACATGTTAGAACGTTATCAGACAATTTACAATTTGGTGGGACAGGCCCTAAGTATAAATCTTACTAATATTATAAATGCAAAAGTTTAGATGTATGTTTGTAGCCTACACTAAACGGATCTGGATGAAATTTGTCACATATGTAGAGGATAGTCTGGAAGAACACATAGGCTACCTTTGCCATTTTTAATTTAACGCGGACAGAGTCGCGGACAAAAGCTAGTAAAGAAAGAAAACAATACATATATATCTATGTTATTAAAAGGGAAAAAATATATTTTTGAATGTAAGAAACGAAAAAACCACCAGAACTATTTAACAATTCCTTCATTATCTGAAATCTATATTAATACTAAGTAGCATACGCTATTACTAGCTGTAATGTTAATACTAGCTGTTGCTCGCGAATTCGTCCGCGTGGAATGAAAAAAATAATTCAAACATTGCCCACATAAATCACACCTAACGTAGGTTTTGAATGGTAAAAGAATTTTTAAAATCGGCCCAGTATATTTGGTTACTCCGATTTTTTTTTAATTACTTGCTAAAAGTTTATTGGTAAATTAAGATAATTAAATTTTCATTACCTTAAGCAATTGTAGAGGAATTCCACAGTCTTCATTCATGGCATCTAAAATATCTCGTACTTGGAAGCAAACAGCTTCAAGAGCTGCTTTGATTATATGATGAGAATTTGTGTCTTCTGTTATACCACAAATTACCCTGGAAAAATAAATATGTCGGCTTAAGCTAGCACGATATCAGAATGGCTACTAGTCGAAATGACATGTGGGCGGCCAGGGAAAGTCGGATTGCAGGAACACATTCACAATACTCAGTCAGGATATCATCGATTTCCCAAGCTTATATCTTTCAAACAATGTTCTCGCAACGATCCCTATTTTCAGAATATTCTAATTTCGCCATAAAGTCGCTTGGCATCGCTCGTGTTCTAATTGTTATAAAATTCAAATTAATTTCTTCTCCTGATTGCGACATATAAAAAAACTTTTAGTATATCATAAATGCACAATATTATACAAAATTATATAAAAAATGCATAAGTACAATAATCATAGACATTTAAACATACAGACTAGGCATAGTGAATAAAATTTTTACACCGGCAATTTTTCTGAAAGGTATTACCAATTGTCAAGTTTAGTGCCACCTCATGTATTTATTTTGTAATAAAACATTTGACTAAATTATAATAAGCTCCACCTTTTGTTATGAATTAACTAAATAGTGCTTAAAAATAAAACATAAACATTCAAATATTATTAAATGACAACTACTAGTATAAATAATTTATATTAATAAATACAATTAATTAATGTAATTAACTATTTCCCGTGTGACTTTGTCCACAGGAAATTATGAAAATTTAATTTTATTCTTTACATTTGTCAAATTATCAATTGCAAATATAAAAATGACATGACATGTCATGTCATGATCACAAAGCATTGCATTCTTACTTCCTTGATGTTGGCAGCTTGTATCTTATGGTCCCTTTCCCACATTACGTTGTTTATCTACTTTTTTACCCCCTAATTTAATGGCGTGAAAATATATAGCCTATAGTGTAACGTAACTGTATGGTTTTCAATTAAAAAAAGAATGATTCAAAAATATGCTGTAATTACTGATATCTTAGGCAACAAAGTGTGTTAACGTTTTATTATAATAGAATAGATAATAAAAATAAATACAATTAATTATTAACATGTGGTTTTGAGGATCTATCAATAAATAGCGTCAGTGAGATGTGAAAAATATTTCAAGTGAAGTCAGCTATGTCTAGTCTATATATTTTTTAATCTCTTACAATAATTAATTACACTGATTTATATAACTAAAAATATATTATTCTATTACCCTCTGGCATCTTGTCTCCAGTAAGGTGCATATAAACCACTGAATGCAGGAACAAACACAACACTGCCATTATCCGTTGCCATTTCAGCGAGACTCTGTGACTCTTTAGCATCTTCTAGAAGACCAATGTTATCTTTAAGCCAGCCCAAAGCCGCACCAGCGACTGCTACCTGGAATAAGTTTGAAATTCATAAATTTCATATTTAATTTGTTGTCACTTATGTGATTATTTGAACAATATTCAATGCAACTATCTTGCAAGTTCATTTTTTCATGCTAAAAATATATGTATGTCGTAATCAGAAGAAATAAATATGAATTTAAGTCATAATTAGAACACGAGCGCCGCCACGCGACTTTCGTGAGAACTTAGATTATTCTGGAAGTAGGGATTGTTGCGAGAACATTGTTTGAAGGATATGAGGTTGGTAGATGGATGCTATCCTGACTGAGGAGCATTGTGAATGTGTTCGTGCAATCCGACTGTCCCATGGCCGCCACATGGCATCTCGACTAGTAGCCATTCTGATATCGTGATAGCTCAAGCCGACATGTATAAATACATCAAAATAATTTAAAAATGCAGTATAAATGACATTCTAAAAGTCAACTATTTAAACAACTAGCTATCGCCCGCGAATCTGTCCGTGTGGAATTAATAAAAAGTGAGTAGCCTATGTGTTCTTCCAGACTATGCTCTACATCTATACCAAATATCATCGAGATCCGTTCACCAGTTTAGGCTACAAACTCTAAGACATTTGTCGATTAAAACATTTACATTTATAATATTACTAAATTTTTCTTGCAATGCCATTACTAACACACAGTAACCGTCTGATAATTTCGAGGTAACTATAATTAAAGAGGAATAAAAATGTACATTTCTATGGAAAAATGAGTCTATCTTACTAATATTATAAATGTGAACATTTAGATGGATGGATGGATGTTTGTAGCCTAAACGGCTTTATGGATCTTGATGAAATTTGGCATAGATCTAGAGCATAGTCTGGAAGAGCACTTAGACTACTTGTTTTTGTTTTTTTTATTCCACGCGAAAGGAGTCGCGGGCGAAAGCTAGTTGAAATACAAATATTTAACTTACCGATCCTTCTAAAGCGTAAGCTGGTTGACTTTTGCTTCCCAATTGATATGCTACAGTTGTAAGTAAACCTCTACTTGAATTAACTTGGATATCCCCGGTATTGTAAAGTACAAAGCATCCAGTACCATAAGTTGCCTTAGCTTGTCCTTTTTGTAAACACATCTGTCCAACTAAAGCCGCTTGTTGATCACCAAGACATCCTGATATTGGTATACCTTTGAGAGGCCCATTTGCAATGTAACCATAAATCTGTAGAAAAAAGACTAATTAAATATAAAAATAAAATAAAACACTATTTATTGACCAAAAGAAAATTAAAAAAACACAATTTACAATTATTACTGAAATAAAAATAAAGATACAAACTTTTGGTCAAAAGGAAAAGGCTCAGCTGATGCGGCCTCCAGCTTGTCACTGAAGGCCGCGCTGGTTTTCAGCCTCCCCTAAACTACTATAACATGGTTCAGTTTATGATACAGGGGGCAGTTGAGATATAATATAAGCTATCATTGCACTTATGTGTGTGTGTGTGTGTGTTGCTGTGTGTGTGTGAATGTAAATATTGAAGTTAAAATAATTAGTTAAAAGTAACTGTTTCGATACAAAAATCTAGCTACTATTTTAAAACCTAAAAAGTGTGTATTTATATGTGAAGTAAAACAAATTACCTCAGAACTAGATTTAATCTCTGGTAGTACTGATGTTGGCACTTCAAAAAACTTAAGCAATAAAGGGTCCCATTTTAATGTTTCAATGTTCATCATCATTGTTCTTGACGCATTACTGACATCTGTAACATGTTTTCCACCGTTTACACCACCTGGAAATTAAAAAAATATTTAAACACATTACTATAACTAACTGTTACTCGAGTCTTGTCCAGGCGAAAATTAAAAAAGAATAAATACAGCTTATGTCACTCAGAGATAACATAGATATTTATTGGTGAAAGAGTTTTTGAAATCTGACCAGTAGTAGCTTTTAGGTTATTTAAAAATATACAAATCTTTCCTTTTTATAGTATAGCTGGACAACATATTTTGATTATATACATCATGTTGGTAATTCCAAAACTTTGTTTTTTTGTATTGCAAAATAAGACAAAGAGATTAAGATCACTGCATAGTATGAAACAAAGTTGTTTCCCATTGTTTGTCTTTCCCCATGTATGTCCCCCCTTAAATCTTCAAACCGCAGTAGATTTTAATGCAGTTTTAATAGATTGAGTGATACAAGAATGGTTTATATATAATAGACTCGCTTTCGCCCGCAACCCCATCTGCGTGGTATAAAAAAAAAACAAAAGTGAGTAGCCTACATGTTCTTCCAGACTATCCCCTACAGCTATACCAAATTTCAGTGAAATCCGCTCAGCCGTTTTGGCTACAAACTCTAACAAACATTCATCCATCTTAACTTTCACATTTATAATATTAATAGTATTATGTATAACATAGTGTGCTAAAGTACCTGTTAAATTCCAAATGATCCAAGTATCCACAGTACCGAAGCAACAAGTTCCTTTTTTCATAGCATTGTTAACAACATCAACTTTGTCGCTAAGCCATCGGAGTTTAACTGCACTGAAGTAGGGAGATAGTGGAAGACCACATAATGGCTGAAAACAATATTGGTTTACATTACACTTTAATAGTTTTCAAAACTAAATGGTAATGAGTACATAGATTAGTAATAGATTAAGGATGGGAAAAGAATGTGGATTTGACTGTACAGAAGATGCAAAGGTGGAGGAACATTCTCTTAATTTGTGTCTCCTCCTCCGTCAATTAAGGGTAGGCAATGCAAATGTTATTGTGAATGTCTATGGGCAGCGGTCACTTCTCCAGTTTGGCGGTTTTTGGTGGCCTCTTGCTCAATTGCCACATTATAAAAAATATATATATTACCTTTAAATAGTTCTTGTTCCTAGTTTTGTTTGGGACAGTATCTAATAATTTGTCTATTGTGGTTGTAGTTCTCATGTCTAGCCAAACTATGGCATTGTGCAGCGGTTGTCCAGTGTTTCTGTCCCATACAATGGTTGTTTCTCTTTGATTTGTTACACCAACTGCTACTATATCCTGGAATATTTTTATAAAGAATTAAAAATAAATTTAAACCACTAGACCATTCATAGAAATACACATGGATTGCACAAGATTTTAAAGCATATTCTATTTCTGGCTTATACAATAACCTGGGTCCAAAAAAAACCTTATTAAATTTTGCTTTAAGCATGTTTTTGCATTTTATCTGCCAACATTTGGTAACAATTTCTTCATTTTTTACTTAATTTTTTAGCATCTTACACTTTACTATTCCATCCATAATGTTATGGTAATTTAAACAAATGGGAAATTTATCAACTTCAGAACAAAAACAAGTATAACAATTAATACAAGGTCAATTTGAATAAAGCATACAATTTTATTTACATAGTTATTTTTTATCTAGAAAACAACATCCATGTCCTTTTTGACGACTTAAACAAACTTGAATTATACAGCAAGAAACTTATCTTAAGAGTTTAATTCTCTTTGATGTTGATAAAATGTGTGAACAAAGTTTTAATTATTATTGGTTATTTACCAAATTTGACATTACAATATATTCAACCCAAATCTAACTGTGATTTACTATAAAAATATTAAGTGTAGAATTTTGGATTAAAGCACAAAAGAATATGAAAATATTTTGTTATGTAACAAGCAAAGATGTTTTTCTTATTATATGATTATATAATCATAAAAATCAATATAAAAAATTCAACATTGAGACACACAAAGCAGATATGCATCTAAACATATAAAAATTACTTTTAAAACATGTAACATGCCAGTTACTGTTAAAAGATAACCAATGGTACTTTATCAGAAGTCATAAATAATTCATTTGTGAGATATGCTATTTACTGCCAAAGGGAAATCAGCCACAAGTTAAACAAGCCAGCAGACATTAACAATATTAAAAAGGACATTATAATATATTGAAAAAAAAAACAACTCACCTTAGGACTTCCACCTAGAAGGATTAATTTTTCAACTGCTTTTTCAATGCAAGTTATCACAACCTCTAAAATATCAAGTGGGTTTTGTTCTACCCATCCCTCTTGTGGGAAGTGCTGTGCTAATTCCTTCTGGTGTAGTGCTATTACTTCAGATGAATTAGCTTTAAATATAATAAATCGAGCACTAGATGTACCTTCGTCAATAGCACCAACTAACGGGCCAAATTTTCCAAAACCCTGTGCCATATTGCAGTCGCTCGTTATCTATTTAACTGCGTTTTCTTAATGCGTTATGTGAACTATACTGTATTTTGCTTGGCCTGCTGTAAACAAAATAAAATAATACTTTACACACTGACAAGGATATCAGTCTTGATGGACGTAAATTAAACTTCAAATTCAAACTAAAAAAAAATCACAGTACTTTTTGAAGTATACTTTACGAACTAAATTAGAATTAGATATGTGAAAATTAGCAATGGAGCAGTTCAAAAGATCAGCTCACGTTGTCTAACACTGTTGAGTTGCGGCTCAGCAAATCAATTTGCAGCTCAGCCTCAACACCATGTACAAATTAATACATGCAAAACCGCTCAATAATCTGCTTCTACCATGCAAAACGGTTGCAGATCTGTAGATCACCAATTATGGTTAAGTGCATAATTGAATTAAAACAATCTAATTCATAATTATACAGCAGACCAGCACTCTCTTGTCAATGTTTAAAAGTGTCATAAATTCGGTGTTGCCATTGTATATTTTTTCCCCAAATTTAAGAAAAAACCAACCTAAGATATAAACCCTTTTGTGTTCAAGAATTACAGATAAATTCGTATTGTACGAGTACGGAATGGCAACAATACTCTTCACAAATATAGAGATATTATTGCCATGAACTTCTTTCTGATACTAGATTTTATTTACGAAGTGTTATTTTAATGATTATAAAATATCAGATTTTTCAGTTTTCTTTTTCAACGAACATAGTTTTTGTTGCAAATATTATAAAATGGCTTGTTTACTTATTAAAATGGATTAGGCAAATAATAGGAAAAAATAATGCAACAGTTCCAGAGATAACGGTTGATGGCGACTTTGACAGCGCGTAAATTAAAAAATGTACCTATAAAACCCCACCCATTTTTTTAACGTGTAATTTTATTTTTGGTCTTTATACACAACATTTTCCCTGACGTGGGAAAAAAACTATTGTACTGGTATACTTGTCGTCACGAAAACTTTTGACATTTCAAAATTGTCGTACTTCAACTTGTATGAACCTTCAATCAAAAAACATCAAAGTATGAAATATCTTTAGGTATAATATATATCTATATCTATCTATACTAATATAATAAAACGTAAAACACGCTACTTTGTGGCGTAGGATGATGTTTGTGCCCTAAACTTCGACATACTTTAAGTTACATATGTATTTTCACGTAATTAAACTTAGAGGTAAATAAATTGGAAAAAACCCTTCATGTGGGAAAAGGACTATAAACTACAAGCTGCCAACATTAGGGAAGCAAGGTTATTATGGTAACGGTAATTCTGACATTTGCAATTTTAACATTTTTATAATTTTATGCGACTGAAGCCGCACGGGAAAAACTAGTCTACGATATTTACTTACGTTAGGTACACCTAGGATGACAAAAATCGCTTACTCACTTGGTTCGTAATACTAGGCAAATCGAAGACAGCAAATAACATTACGAAAGAACTCATTTATTTAGGAGCTGTCTCCCGCAAATTTCGTTAGCGTGGAATTAAAAAAAAAACTTTTTAATTAGAAAACAAAACCGACTTCCAAACAAAATACACTAAAAACAAAATATTCTCAAAAAACAGTACACTAAAAAGTAACGAAATAATTCCTTGAAAATAGTAAACCACCCTTATTGTAGCTGTTATGTCTATATTGTACAATTATTATTACTTTGATATCGGTGTCAGCCGAGGTATGCAGTTATATTTATACGTAAGGCTTTCTACATTTTTACTATAACAATAGACAATTGAACGTATAGTAACGTTTAAGTAATGAATCTACATTGACTGACACTGACTTCAAAGTAATAATAATTGTACAATGTAGACATAACAGTTACAATAAGGGAGGTTTACTATTTTCAAGGAATTATTTCGTTACTTTTTAGTGTATTGTGTTTTTTAATATTCATTTGGATAAGGATTAATTCATACTAAATAAGAATAAAAGCGTTTTAAATGAAGTTGATTGCATTTATTTGACGGTTTTCGCGAAGGAAACGGTTATTGTGAGACAACCTTAAGAGATAGATATATGCCATCGCGGACTTTAATTTAGCTAATTGAATGAGCTATAATTCTTTCATACATATTTTTTATGTATATCTTATAGTTTAGGCCTCGTAAGACAAGAAAGCAAACTTTGTTACAAGTTGGTATTTTTTTCTGCGACTCGTAATTTGCTTTTTACGACATCTCCTAAACTATTGATCAGAATTGTACAGTTCCACGGGCATTCCATCATCCATCATCAAGACAATTAAATGTAGATTATATCTACATTTAATTGTCTTGATGATGGACACATTTATTTGGCTAAGGATTCATACCGAACACGAGTAATAGCGTTGATAGTGGGGTATAGATTTAGAGCGATATTTTAATGAAAAAAGTAGTTATTGTGCGACAACCTTAATAGATAGATATATGATATCGCGGACTTTTATTTAGCAAATTTAAAGGGCTACAATTCTTCCATACTTCATTTTTATGTAAGTCTTATAGTTTAGGCTACGTAAGCAAAGAAAGCAAAAATGACCCTAAATTTCGTCGCGCGATTTTAGGGTAAACTATTTAACTACGTGGTAGTCTTTGACTCCAAAAATCGAGCAAAAAAATGGGACCTACCTGCAAACATTACCTTTCGGATAAAAAAAGAATTATCAAAATCGGTCCACTAGCAGCGGCGTTATGCCGTAACACACAATGAATAAGTAGCCTACAATATGCCTATCCATGTCAGCTACACTCCAGTGAAAGATTCGTCGAAATAGGCCCAGCCGTTTCGGAGATTACCCGGAATAAACGCGGTTTGCGGACAGACAGACGGACAGACAGACAAAAATATTTTAAATGTGATTTTTTGTTATGGACAACGCAAATACATCATATTCCCGAAATCTTTCCTGTGATATTACAAACAGACACTCCAATTTTTCATTATATTTATAGAAGATAGATTAACTAAAATTTAGTTTTTTTTTTAAATTAAGATTAAATTAGATAAAAACTACAGTTAAGGTAACATTTTATAATGATCGTACATTTTAACTGAATTCTCAGAACAAAGAGGTTCTCAATACGATTATTTTTTTATACATTTATAAGTGTGGAATCCTTTACAAAATGAACACAAAGGTTAAGCCGGCAAAGTTAAATACAACGCGTTTACAAGATGGCGGCATAAAGGCACATTCACATAAACACAATATAACGTTACATCGTGCATGTGGCGTGATTATTATTATTAGACTTTTTAATTTGCGCCGTGGACCAGGTCACGAACAAAAGCTAGTATGTTAATATTAAAATCGTTCTTTTGTACAGTTTACAAAATTGGTGTGTTTGTATGGAATATCGAAAAAAAAGATTTTCGCAGCGGTATTTGGGTAGCTGATAACGTATATCGGTTTTTTTCTATCGTTTCCTGGCAATCTCCAAAACAGATAGACTGATTTTGACGGGACTGTCTGGAAGGTAATTAAGTGGTACTGGCAGGAGTATTATACTATGTTTTTCTTTAAATTGTGTAAAAATGGAAAGCTCCACGAACCTCCCCGAAGCACCGGTTTTTGCTAGAAATAATATTTAAGAGTAATATAATCTTTACACGTAAAACGATTGTGATGTCGTATCGCTTGCAACATGTTTTTATGTTCGAGCCCTAATCTAGCATTGTGTTCGGGCTCCCACGCTGGTCGCTTCGGGCGAGAGCCGAGCGAACCGAAGCTCGTTACTCGCAGAACGAACAGTACCGCATGCCACATCGCCATTGCGTCTATTTCATTTAGCGTGTAGAATTTGTAGCGTTTGTTGGCGTGTTGTGTTGTGAAAGGCACGTGTTTTTTATTTCACAATGGAGTTAAACCAACGGTAAGCAATTTTCAATTATACGTATATTAATTCGGACCGAATACATGTGTTAGTTTTATACTTACAATAAAATTAGATTAATAACTTTGTGATACATCGCTGCTAAGAATTCACGCAATATTGGACTTTATTTCGTTCCACTACGATATATACTTGCTTGTGTAGTCTATACTACTGAGTATAAAACTTCATTATATGCAGGACGTTTTTTCATGCATGCCGTTGATGTTTTATGGAAGGGAAAGAAATAAATAGCAATAGCACGGTAAATTAATGTTAACTAAACAAAAATAAAAACATTAACACTTTTGGTATAAACACACACATAGTTAGTAAAAATCACATTAATGTGACTTTTATAATTGCAACGAAGGCACTGGTTAACAAATAATTTTGTATTAACTGTTATAACAAATAACGAAACAACTTGGTGTTCGATCAAACAGCACCATTAAAATGAAATGTCATTATAAAAATATGTTACACTGCAACTGCACTGCACTCAGAAGCATATGTTATATAATAAGCGGAACATCACCGGTAACTGTATGGATATGACAAAAAATATATACAATGACGAAAGATTATGCGCAACGCATATTCTGTGCCACCTAGGCTTCGAGAAAATATAACTAGAGCGCGATGAAGCTTCACGGGTACCACCCGTTTAATTTACTTTTTGGACATTATTTTTACGATTCATTAATACAGACTGCAGCCTTTTGAAGCGTCTTAATTGGCTGTGATTGAAGCGAACTAAACGCAATACAAGTAGTTTCAGGTGGGGTTACATTGAGTAACTTGCTTTTGCGTCGACTACACATCTAGTTGTTATTGGTGATCGGAGCACCCATGCATAGCTGTCGCGGATCGCTCATATCAAATAAAGTAGCACTTGACTCATTTGAAGCAATAGTTCATTGCATCTTAGCTTCTAGTTACAGTACCATGCAAACTGCATGGCCGCTTGCAACTTTGTAAGAGACGCTGCGCAGAACACAATTTTAGGCGCAGGCGGGGTGGGAGACATGGGGGCAGGAGACGTAAAACTCTACCCCACGCTTTAATCCTAAATTAAGCCTGGGAATCATCTACGAAGAAAGATACTCGCCACTAGCCAGAAACCGATCATCAAAAAAAAACTACAAAGAAATAAAATATTAACGGACGAAGTCGCGCGCAAAAGCTAGTATATTTATTATTGACTTGGAATCTGAAGAGTTTCAATGGCTAAAAGAAAATTCACTTATTTGGACTTTAACAGTAAATTCGATAAATTCACGAAATACCTTGATTTTAAATTGTAGGAACAACAAATCTCCATAAAATGTTATAAAAAATATTTGCCGTAAGAGCCATCTACACCATTACATCAACATTTATAAACTGTAGAAGCCATACGGTTACCAATTAAAGGTCCTTCGAATACCGTATTTTTATATTAATATTATTCACACCATCGCTATATACTGTAAATTAGAAGGTAGTTGAAAGAATTAAATCTTTTTGGGAGAAGATTTTTTATGGTAAAAAGTCACGAAATACCTC